AAATAAAGATTATTTTTTTAGAAAACTGATCAAATTAAAGGAAAAGTAAATAAATAATATTCGTAAAGGACTCTTAATAATAATAAAAATTAAATATGAAAACAAGGCATGTAAGAGTCAATACCAATGCACAATATTAAAAAATAATCAATTTTTATACTTTGATTGTCTATTATTGAAAAATATAATTTAATGGAATTGGACTCTGTGATTTTACATTATGACTAATATTAATTATTATTTGCTATGACACTGACTGACAAGAAGATTATGAATATTTTATCTTCGAGTTTATAAATTGTTGACATATAATGAACATCAAGAAATTCTGTTCAATTGGCCATCCAACCTTTTGTCAAGCAATTTCGATACCTTTGGTTTATGTTCATTCGTTGACGTGGTTTACTATTGAATTTTATTCAGCGTTTTCGAAGTAGTGTAATAATTTTATATTTTACATATATCTGAAGAGGGTCTAATATAAAGACCGAAACATGTAATATTTTGCAATGGAATTTATGTAATGTTATTTAATGTAATGTAATAGAATTTTGATTATTTTTTAATATTGTGCGTTGGTATTGACTCTTACATGCCTTGTTTTCATATTTAATTTTTAAGGGAAAAGAATAGAAGACTGAATAAAATCGAACAAATCACTGTACAAATAATTCATTTTTTTATCTTGCATAACCATTTTTTTTACATTTACTTAGAAAACTCTTTGAAACAAGTTATAAGAATATGAAAAAAGATATTTTTCATTGGAAGTATATCTTTATATTTTTATTAATACAAAAGTAATAAATAATTTTTAATTATTTTTAGCATAATAAAATTAATAAAATTATATTTATAATATTCATTTTTATGTTCTTCCAGCTTGCCTAAATACTTTTGGGTGCTCGTACACAACATGCTTGTATAAAAATATTTCGTTAATTTCTTGAATTTTGATGAGTTTTGAAGCAAAATTATGTTGAAAATATCTGCTATTTTTTTTAATAAAAAATCGATTGTTTTCCTTCTACACTTATATCTAATCATTTTTTCTTCAAAGTAACTGCATTTTCAATCTACTAAATAGGGTCGCGATATCATGCAAATAAGGTGAAGAGATTTTGTAGGATGCCTTGGTCTAATCCTTTAACAATTGCGTATATCTGTCTTAGCGTCAATAGATTGTCTCCACTTTTCCGCGTTATTAGAACTCCCTTTATATTGAGGTAACACAATCTACGGAAAATGTATTGTAATTTTAATATTGTAATTTTTAAACTAGAATTTTTGTCAATTCGCCGTTGGTGCAACAAATCTACCATGCGTGTTTCGTATAATACTCCTCAAAAGTTTGCGATCATTTCTTATATAACTATCATTTATTCAGAAATTTAGCACAAATTATACGATTATATTGCGACGATCGAAGAGTGCGACAGTGGCTTAACTCATCTTTAAAAAAATCTCATGATTGAAGGAGGAGGAGCAAATGCTATTTTATGAGACATCAATCACAAAAAAATTTCAAGTTGAGAATTGAATTATTTAAGAGATATGAAATTAAAGTTCATGAAAGTATCAGCTTCTATATTATACGTTTGCACGAATTTTTTATGTTAGTCTGACAATTTAATTTACATACGTTTATTAATTCAAACAAACGTTCAATTCTATTTTAAAAACGAATACAATACTCTTTTTTAGACAATCTCTCAGTCGAGTTACTGAGTTATTTCAAGAAATAAATTTCAATAAATAAATTGTTAACGAGCTGGGTCACTGTTGCATCAAATCTTCCAACTGTAGTCGCACCTCGTCGCATTCTCGCATCCACGATGTAACGGTTAAGCAATAGCAAAGAAACGAATGTAGCGATTAAATATTCGAAGAAATGTGTACTCGATGACGAGTACGTGTAGTGATTGCGGGATTACCACGTTCCACGTCCTTCGCACAGCGTCATTTATCATCAACCTCAACATCAACAACAATACTAACGTTAACAACGTCATCAACGTCATCGTCAACGTCGTCGTCATCATCATCACCATCATCATTGTCGTCGTCGTTACCATCATCCCTGGATGCGTATCCATCGAGCGTCTTCTCTCTCGCGAAGCCTAAGAAGGAGGAGAAAAATCACTTTTCTACGATACGTCCGTTAAGATTTCCGCTTGTACTTTCTCGCTGTCCGAGGACGGCCCGACGGCGGCCGGCCTCCCCCGTCGAATATAACAGATCCTTAAATTATCGTAGCCTGTGATAAAGACGTAGGCGAAAATGGACCCCTTGCTTTTTCCCATTTTATTTATGGCATCGACTTGATGTACGAATGTATTATAGTTGTACAGTTGCATCGGGATGATGCGTGTTGTAAACCTCCCTGCTTTCCTTGCGTTTTTACGCTTCTCTCCTTTCTTCTTCTTTTCTCTTTCTTTTCTTATTCGCATCTCTTCCTTTATCGCTCGTCACCATTTTTTGTGAGCTTCACCCGTCCTCGAATGTCTCGTTTGTTGCCCGTAGCCTTGATTAAATACTATGCGAGCACCCCTGAATCTACGGGCGGTGAATCGTGAAGAAATGTAGGAAACGCGCGAGAAGCGGCTCTCAGTTATGTCGGCATCGTTAATTTATTGCATAATAGCGATCGAACTTTCGTTTGACTGATAAAATGAAACGTGGGATCTCAATTTTCCTCGTTCATGGATTGAGAATTATTTATGTGCCGATTTCTTTCAGCATGCTAGTTTAGCCTTTTGCGATATTTTATATACTTCGACATTTCGCATAATAAAACGCAAAACGTATTTATAGCATTATATTTTTGTATTTCTTTTATGAAATAATATATTATTTGCTTTATTCTATCGAATTTTATGGATAATTCCTTTTTCCGGCCTCGTCTCTCTCCCGCGAGACCTACGTTTCTTCATGGGAATGTGAGCCGAACCAACGGTGTGTGAGTGCTTGAAGTATGTGAACTGAGAATTAATACTTGAGATTTGATAACAATAGCGATAGCCTGTTAACCGTGAACTAATAATGAGAGACTCAATGAGAGAAAAAGTTGATAAGTAAAAATAAGTCAATCCCTTTTCTAATCAGTAGGAGAACGATCGAGATTGGATCTACGGTTTTATAAGAATCTTTGATAAATATTGGATTGCGGATAGCTGATAATTAAATAATAATAATAATAATAATAATAATATTTAATAGCCGTTTGTATCGAAGGTGGCTAACGAATATTGACCAAGATAGAATTGCTAATTTCTACCTTCGCTGAAATCTTTTCAAACGCCTTCAGTTTCGCGCACTGAAGATCCTGGCACTTCGGATCTGTTCTCTTTATCTGCGTCTTTTTTTCCCTCCCTTCCCTGTCCCCTTCCCACCCTTTGTCCCCGATATTAACAATATGTATTTATTTGGTTTCTCGCATGTGCAGCTGAAAAGAACAGATCTCCAGCTTCTCGTGATTTGATCTAAATAAAATGCGCGACAAATACACGTGCGAAGCGATGGAGAAGGAGTGCAGCTCGCAGTGCTGCTCGCAAAGTATCGATGCCGAAACTCGCGTCCGAATCGTCTCACCGACGACGCAGAAAAAAATTTAGCCGATTCCTCGATTTCGGAAGACTTATCACAAACGTGATAACCCCCACCCCTTCCCACCCTCGCTCTTTCCCTCACAAATGCGTTTCCACCTTTCCTAAATTACGCGTTTATAAATGTCGTCATTTATATACATGTAACGATTTTTTGTAAATAATCGGTATACATATATAAATATAATTATATATATATAAATAAAAATAAATATATATATATAAATTATATATATATGAAACACGCAACGTGTAAATGGACGAAACCTGTCTTCGTTGTATCAATAGTCTTATATCAGACTTGTATATGAACGGAGGGACTTTTGATTATTAAAAGTTTCCTAGAGTAAAAAAGAAAAAACGGAGTTTTTTTTTACGTGACTTATCGCCATGATATACGTATAATTATAATATATAAGTGCATACATGTCGACATGTAATAATTAAAAAACATTTTTCTTAAGTACAGAAAAATTCTAACATGTTGTAAGCACGAAGTGCATTACTGCGTAATTGACATTTAAGCTGTTATTTCACAATTTCGCGCGAGAAATTTACTGTGTGAAAAAAGTTATGTGATTAATAATAATCTTACTCTTACTCTTTTGTTTATCCATTAGATAAATTACCATATGATTTAGCCGAAGATGGAATAACCAGTCCTAAGAATTAAAAAAAAGATAAATAATGATGTAATAATAAATCTTTTTTCTAAGATAAAGTAATAGTTTTGAAACAAAATTAAAGTTAATACAGTGGTAGAAAGTGGAGACAACTTCATCAACAATGTATTCGAATACATTATCTGACATTATCTTCTGGTCGCCTCGAGGTCGCATCTTATGTTATCAGATAAGTATATACCAACTAAGAATATGTATATACGTATATATATCGAGTAAAACCTTTTCAATTTTATATTCTCAAATTTGTTCGAAAATTCTCTTTTGAAATTATTTAAATTTTCTAAGAATCTCTCTCTCTCTCTCCTTCAGAAGTCAGAATTAAATGTTTTGTCAATCTAATTAAAGAAACTGCAATGTTTTTCGGGACAAGATTTTTATTTCGAATCGAGTGTGACTTATCTTACCTGACTATAATCAGCTAAATAGGCGTTGATCTGTCTAAGAATCGAAATCAAATCTCGATTTGCAAAAACGTAGATTTAAATACTATCAGTCTTGTGATCTGTCAAACTCGTAGGATAAGAAATCGCATAGCGGCATAATTTTTTCCGGACACCGAGTATATCTGCGCACAAGTGATAAACGGACCAATCGGCGCGCAAGCGGCAAGCCATTTAATTGGTACACGAGGCGGCAGGTTAGCCAATCGGCGCGCTAGCGGTACGCCAGCCAATCAGCGCACGACAGCACCGCGCGGACCGCGTCGCGTATCGCCAGCCACGGCACTTCGTGGAAGAGCCACGTCTACGGCGACGGACCACGACGGACGGACGAACGGGTAGGTGGCTGAATACTGACAGACGTTTCTTCCAACCATCAGTGATCACACGTCACACGACCCACTGCCGTGAGGATGTTGCGAAAGTGCCTGTTTGTCCTGCCGTTACTGCTGCTCGGTGCCCTCGCCGACGAGAAGGATGTCCTGGAACTCACCGATGAGACCTTCGAGAGCGAGCTCGAGCGTCACGAGAACACGCTCGTCATGTTTTACGCACCATGGTGAGAGAGACTTCTTCGTCGGATCCGTCTTATCTGACCGCGTTGTATCGACGCCTTTCTCTCGCATTTACGCGTTGTATCGCACGAAACTTCTGCATTCGTAATAAAACGAGATATTCGCGAAGGATAGAGAGAAAAATTGCGGATAGCTGGGATTAGAGAAAAACGAACCATTCGTCATTAATCAAGTGGAAACCGTTTGAAAAACTCTTTATGATGTAATTAATCTGTGTTACGTTGTAATATGGAGTCTTTGTTGATGATAAGATTCGTATCTTCTATCGAGAAATATACTTTTTGCGCGTCTAACTGAGGCGCAAAACGCCGGCATACGGCATTATTCAATTGGCTTTTGATGACGTATCCAAATTTCTATCTCCAAAATCTGACGAATGTCGTGAACAGTTATCTTTATTTGGTATCTTACAATAAAAATATTAAAGCAGCTACTTTTTCACTGTGTGAATTATATATTTTTCTTTTTTATTTATCAATTTTTTGTTCTTTTTTATATTCTTTTTTTTAGTTTTTACATTATTTTGTTCAAAAGGATATAATAAATTAAAAAAGATGTTATTTACCTTAAGATTAAAACTTGTTTTGAACACAGATATAAAAAAAATAGCAAAAAATAGTTCTAATGCTTTTCTTTAGAGATTATAGCTTTATATAAAACAGTAGTTATTGAATATTCGTCCAGAAATAGAGTTTATTATTAAAATTAGTTTGTTATTAATTATTGCATAATTCTTAAGTGGAAGTTAATTATAGAATGTATTATTTTGTTGCCACAGGTGTGGGCATTGTAAACGTCTAAAGCCAGAGTATGCAAAAGCAGCTGAGCTGCTCATAGGTAGCGAGCCACCAATCACGCTTGCCAAGGTCGACTGTACAGAGGCCGGAAAGGAATCTTGCAACAAGTTCTCCGTTAACGGTTATCCGACACTCAAGATCTTTGAGCGTAATGAGCTCAGGTCCGACTATAACGGTCCTAGAGAAGCAGCCGGCATTGTTAAGTACATGAAGGTAACATCTCGTGTCTTTTTATCTATTTATGAAGGTCCAGTACAATTTTTTTACCTGTGATTATTGTTTCAGTCTCAAGTGGGACCGGCATCTCAAGAGTTGACTAGTGAAAAGGCCCACAAGACGTTCCTAGAAACTGACGAAGTCGTCGTGATAGGTTATTTCGAAAAGGATGATTCACCATTGTCTGCGGCACATCATACTGTTTCCAAGAAACTCAGAGAGAAAGTCAAATTCGCTCACACATCAGTGAAGGAAGTTTTGGACAAAGTATCTCACAAGTATGTGTTTTAAGAATTATAGAGATAATTTTTCTGTGTTCGTTTGTACAAAGGAAGTAACTGAGAAATGAAATATATTAACTAAAACATTCCTTTTTTTCAGAAATGCAATTGTTCTTTACCGACCAAAGATACTCCAGAATAAGTTCGAAGATAACAGCATTGTATACAAAGACAGCGACTCTATTAGTGACGTGAACGAATTCGTTACCAAGAACTAGTAAGTTTCACCCTTCTATCGAAACTTTTAGGTAATCTTGGAATCACTTTTTAACATTGACTTTGTTACAGCTATGGTATTGCCGGTGTACGCACTCGCGACAACGCGCAGGACTTTAAGAATCCTCTGGTAATTGCCTACTATAATGTGGATTACGTAAAGAATGCCAAGGGTACGAACTACTGGCGCAACAGGATCCTCAAGGTTGCCAAGGACTTCCCCGCGTACTCCTTCGCTATATCTTCTAAGGATGACTTCCAGCACGAGCTAAACGACTTTGGCATCGACTACGCAAAGGGTGATAAGCCAGTCATTCTAGCACGAGATGATAAGAATCAGAAGTTTGTTCTGAAAGAGGAGTTCTCCATGGACACGTTCGAGGCGTTCCTGAAGGATCTGCAGGCCGGTGCTTTGGAACCGTATCTCAAATCCGAGCCGATCCCAGATAGTAATACGGGTAACGTGAAGGTCGGCGTTGCCAAGAACTTCGACGAAGTCGTCATCAATAACGGCAAAGATACACTAATCGAGTTTTACGCGCCCTGGTGTGGCCACTGTAAGAAACTGGCACCAGTATTTGACGAGTTGGGCGATAAACTGGTGGACGAGGATATTGAGATTGTTAAATTCGACGCCACAGCGAATGACGTGCCAGCGCCATACGAAGTACGCGGTTTCCCGACGCTCTACTGGGCGCCCAAGGATGCTAAGGACAATCCAGTCAGATATGAGGGCGGTCGCGAGCTCGACGACTTCATCAAGTATATTGCCAAGCACTCCACCGACGAGCTCAAGGGCTACGATCGCAAGGGCAAGGCGCTGAAACCTAGAACTGACGAACTATAAGACATTAACTGACGTAAACACACAAAGTTCGTTTTTGCATTTTTGAATGCATCAATCTACGAAGCGATCCGCGAGTTTTTCTCACGTAATACACAAAGCAACTCTAGTACATTCAAGAGCGAGAAAATGTGTATAAACAGAAATAACACTAGTGCAGATATCATGGGTTTTCCGCGAGACGTTTTGCAATAAGTGAAAAATGGATGTTCGAATGGGGGGAGGGAAGGGGGGAGTGTCTCTAGCTATAGGATTGTCTACATATACTAATTGTATACTTTGTAACGATTGTATAATGACGTGATAAAGCGCGCAGAATTGATTTGAAATTTTTTTTCCGCAACATGCTTTCCCAGGATGTTTGGCGAATTATAAAGTTATACAGAAAGCAACACTCCATTCCAATATCGCGTATTTCGACTACTCTAAGTTAAGAGATAATGCAGCGATTTTTGTTTATATATGAGAGCCAAAATAAATTGTTTTATAAGAAAAAAACATCAAGATTTTTCTATTCTTTTTCCTGAAGCCAATTATGAGTATCATTTATGCACATACGAATAGCTGTAGTATCATGTGAAAATAAAAAAAAAAGATACTAACGCAAATAAAATTTTCTCGCTTTCATTAACAGGTGTCATCTAGCAGTAGAGCCGATTATATACGTCATAAGAAATGTTTATTGTTAGTTACAATTTGTTATCATAGCGTTCGTAGGTTAATCATACAGTCTTACATACAAAAGCTTAATTAGTAGTTTTGCAGAAAAAGGGTGTCGAGTCGGTAGAAAGATTTCGGAAGTCAAAATCAATGATCCCTTTTCCTTTTTCCTGATTCATAAAAATCGGATTTAGTATCTCACACACACACACACACACACACACACGTCGGAAAAAAACTGCCGATCCTTCTCTCATTTCTTGGGTTTTTCTTCTCGTACAAATCAGTTAAACACGAGTCTCAAAATATCTCTATTTATGAAAAAGATTAGCTTACGGCGATCATATAAGACCGCCTTTTATCGATAAGATCTTGAGGTTTACGGAGCCTTTTAGGAAAAAGTACTCTTGCACCTGTATGTGTGTGTATATGTATTTGTGCGGGCGTAGGAGATGCATGCATATCTTCTTTTCTTCTCTAGTGTTAGCTCGTCAAAAAGAACGGCTCACTCGTATCGAACACGCATTGATCAATTTCATGTGACAATATTAAAAGATCTTCCTAAACGATCAAGCCTGTTCTCGTTAATTTTTGCTTATTGCTCTCTTTCACTGCCATGCGACGGAAGTACATGAAGTGTGGTGTGTAAATGTGTGTATGTGTGTGCTCTGGAAAAACGGTATTTGAATCTTGACACGCGTATGTTTACCGTGATACGCGAAAATGTGGTAGAGTTCATATCATATATGTATATACACAATATCTCGGGTGCGTAATTGATACAATATACGTATGTACGTATATATAGATGCGTATATATAATTATATATATATATATATGTATATACACATCTATATACCACGAAACTCAATATAAAAAGAACACTTTCGAGCTCCGCAGCGACGCGCAACCTGTAGAGTGGAGCGTGTATTCGACACGTATTTCCCAAAGTGTTTATTAACTCGGGCAAACTTAATCGGTTAATATACACATCTCCCATTCTATCGTCATCTCTCTTTCTCACTTTCTTTCTTCGCCTTTCCTTTTCTTTGCTTTCTACGAATCCATCGTGCGCGCGTTTGCTCGTGGCAGAAGTATCTTAAGTAAGTGTCGCTAAGCTTCTTTTTCCTTCAGATGTCTTTGAAAAGTTCCGTAAAAGCGTATTGTGTAATAACAAGATCTACTATTCGCTAAGAGAAACGAGGAGAGAACTTAGTGAACACAATTCCGCAGTCGAGCCCATTGAATTAACGGCCGAGAGAGGCATCGCGTTACGCGGCCGTTAATTCAACATCACCTTTGTAAGAGACAATTTTTTCATTACAATAATCTTACATATTAGACGGATCTATAGAAGACGAGTGTATCATCATCCTTTCTCTTTTCATCTCGGCGTAAACGACAGCACAAGCGAAACGGGAAGAGCTCATGGCGAAACAAATAGGTCGAACATTGGTGTGAATTTTGCGAAGCAGCTCGGCTCTACATTGTGGCACACAAAATCAAAGCGTCGACGTGCGCGACCGGTAATCTCCGAGTTTAGTACATCATACGCTAAAGATATCGATGGCGTATGTGTATAAAAAAACGCAAACCGCAAGTCCAGTCACGGTTTGGTCAGACACAAAGAACACGTTCCCCGAAATACATAAATATAAATGTAGTCGCTACTATAATCTCCGTTATGTTAGTGTCATCGTACAATAATTATAATAAGGTAATAATAATAATAATAATAAAATATAATAATACACACATTTAATCTAATTGATATCTTAAAAGTCCAAGTGATCTGCTGAGATCTATCTATGCACGTTTATAATATAATAAATGTCCGTTTACTTTCTTTTCACCATTCAAGAGTCGCAAAAATGTGACGATTTTTAATAAAAAAGCAAGATGCAAGATTCAAAGTTCTCTCGAATTGTTTCTCTGAGTCTTATTACTCTTTGACTGCATTTCGCACGTTTTGTGTATTCAATATTTTGATATTCTATCTCAATTCGCTCAACAATTTTTCTTTCATTTTGTTTATTACCAAAATAAAGAGATACTACGATTAAAAAAAACAAAGATGTAGAATGCATATAATAATTATAATAATATTAATTATATTAATAATGAGACAGTAATAATAATAGTAATAATTACTACAATGATAAAGATAATTGTGTACCGTAAAATGTAGATAGTTGTTGGTATGACAATCATTTTTTTGTTTTAATCATTTAAACTCGAAGCACAATTCATTACTGTTAAACATTACACAATCAATATAGTCGAGTGGCTTACCGCTCAGTGCGCAGCAAAAATCCCGCGTATTGATAACTTCATAATCAACCTAACGAGAGATCACTTTTTACAAGCGAGCAAAATACTTCAAAATAGCCTGATCCACGCTGCCTTGTATCCAAACCGATGTATTTTGAAAAAATACTTATCACTGGATATGTCCCCCCGGAAGCTTTTCTCTACCTCGACCAAAAAGGATATATACAAGATGATATAATAACATACCAATAATATACCATTACCCTAGGCATAGTAACGATAAGAAAATAGAATATCCACAATATACAAATAGTAATGATGCTAACATTTCATAGCGATGTAGTATGTCTATTCTGAATGTCGAAAATTTAAAAAAGAGAAAAAATAGATCCAAGTATTGGTGGAATACTGATGTATAGTAACAAAAATTATTATTCTAATACTATAATAACCAGTAGGATTACATTCCATCAGTTTACATAAAGTAATATCCATTTATTCTCAATACACTTTTGTCTCACAGGACTAGTTATTTATTTATTTATTTATCTTCATACAAGCGAATTAATATATATATTTCAGTTTTTTTTTCTCAATAAGGGACCTCTTTTTCTGAAAAATTAATGTAAAAAATTAGATAAGGGCTCATCCCGTATAATAAACACGAAGCCAATCAAAATAATTGTACTAAGAACTTTAATCCCGAAAAAGAACGCAGCGGCGAGAGTCAAAGCACCGTTCCGCTCAATTAGATTGTTTTAAGAAATAAAAAATGTTTTTTTGATTTATTTATAACATTAAAACAGTTATATAAACAGTTATGTAAAAGTCCCGTAAATAAACGTCATACATACATACATACCACTCTGCGATTGACTCGCGATTTATAGATCGATAGAAGCAAAGAAGCTAGTCATACCGCAGGTCCTCAGCGGAAACCATGATATAACATCTTACCTTTAATTATTTGTAAAATAATTTGTAAAATAATTAAAGGTAAGATGTTGCAGCTAGTTCCGCAATTCTATAATTTTCACAAACGCGAAAAATCGCGTATATGGGGCGCAAGTGGGACACGGATCTACAGATCGCGAGTCAATCGCACTGAGCGGTAAGCCACTCGACGTTCCGATTATATTGATTGTATAATTTTACCCGTAACCACGGGCTCACTTGTCACAACATCTTAAAGAAGCCTACATCTTCCCCTCTTCTTCTTCTTTACCTAAAATTTCAAAATATTTGCATTAGTACATGTATTAACAACAATAATAAATATTAAGCAATGTCGTAATATTAAAAAAAAAATATATATATATATATTGCTGAATATTTCTTGAAATTTGAATGTATCTTTTCATATTAACTCCCAACTTGGCGATCTGATTTTCTCTCTTTTTTTTTAGTAATTACTATTAGAGTAGGTAATTAAGACATACTTGTAATGCAGCTCGAGTTGCCGTTTCGAAAACTTCCCTTACACCTTCCTTGCTTTTGGCAGAACACTCAAGGTAGGCGAAAGCATTGATTTTCTCCGCCATGGCCCTACCCTCCTCAGGCTTAACTGGCTCTTGTTTCATCTTACCGAGCTCCTTGATGGTGTTAGGATCATTGCGCAAGTCTTTTTTGTTTCCAACAAGGATAATGGGCACGTTTGGGCAGAAGTGCTTCACCTCTGGTGTCCACTTCTCGGGAATGTTCTCCAAGGAATCGGGACTATCAATGGAGAAGCACATTAGGATAACATCCGTGTCCGGATACGACAACGGACGCAACCTGTCGTAATCTTCTTGTCCAGCTGTGTCCCAAAGAGCCAGTTCCACCTGTTTCGAAGAAGCGAGAAAGTCGTTAAAAGAGGAATTTTAGTAGATCTTTTGACGAAGGTAATAAGGAAAATATTTTAAAACGAGACGCACCTGTTTGCCATCCACCTCGATATCGGCGACATAGTTCTCGAATACTGTGGGTACATACACCTCAGGAAACTGGTCTTTGCTGAACACTATGAGAAGACATGTTTTACCACAAGCACCGTCGCCTACAATAACCAACTTCTTTCTAATGGCTGCCATGAATCCTAAAATACAAAAGAGTATACGTGGTATGTATAGTGGTAGTGAAATAGAAAAATCGGCACGATGATATGTATAGTTTGACACTGCTCATTTAGAACATTTATCACTTCAGAAATGTATGAGAATACTGATTGATATACGAAAAGCGAAACGTATCGTGTGGTACATTTATTACAAGTTAGTGATAACTTTCACAATTGCAATCAAATCGATACCAAATCCTAATGTGCTAAAATCATCAAATCCTCTCTACTGTATCGTAATATTATTGTATATAGAATGTACATATTTACATACATGTAAAAAAGAACTTGACAATATATATAGATTTATTTTATCTTAAACGACTAATTTGTATTATCGATTTATCAATGTAGTTTTATCTGCATAAAGGGGGAGATAATACTGCGTGTCTCAAGGTAAAATCCCGGGAGGTATCTTATATATTTTTATAATTGCCAAAAAATGGGCGGTCCTCCACCAATAATAACTTACTACTTTACAGAGAGAATTCTTTTTTATAATTAATTTCGCAATCGTATTGCGTTCGATGCGATAACGTTCGCTAGTTATGCTTTTATCGCGTTTCTCGCTAATTGTGACTCATTTGTACGAAGTATTCAAACTGTTTTCAAACTGTTTCCATCCTACGTGTATGAAGTAATCGGGCAGAATAGACTTTCTTACTAACATTATCTATACAACAAATAACCTTATACTTGTTAAGTGCAAAAGATGAGCGTTACTCTGCAAATTCAATCTTTCCGACGTGTACTTTACGTGTCAACATATACAGTTTGGAATACCTTACAACCTAAGAGGTAACACCAAATTGATATCGATAAAGAATTTCAATCAACTAATTGCGATATTATACAGGAACCTACCAGACCGTTTGAACTAAAAGCATGCGGAGTGAAAGATTTGTGATATACATATTACGGAATCATATTACGAAAAACGAAATATATCGACAATATATGCAAGAGATAGCAGGAAAGAATTAAGAATTAGTCAGTGATGGATTACATTAGTAAACTTGCTTCTCTTATACAGCGTCAGTTACTTATTACAATTAGAGTGGAGCAGAGCAAATATTTGTAATCGAAAGCGTGTAATACAAATACGAAAGGAGTGATAAAGCTAACAAGCATTCTTCAAGATACAGTTAGGAAGAAGAAAATTAGGGTAAACCTTCGTGAGACTGTGTAACTCGCGTTATGTACACCTCTTCTTGTCGGAGCGTAATAAAATAATGTCTCAAACCTTGCAAGCTATAATTTTGTTCTTTGCTTTTTTCTTTCTCGATTTTATCGCAGTCTCTTTACTTCATACAAGCCGATCTCATAGAAGACGATCTCTTCCTTTTGGGAGAATAAAAATGTCCTTTAGCTGCTTTACTATTTTACTTATGGTATCAATATTACTATTTACGAAGCAAGTGACAAGAGAGATAGATATATTCTAAAGTCCTCTAGTCTACTCGATCGCTATGAAAAAGCGGGACCTACGAGGACTGAAGTCTTAAAGGAGTACTGACTGAGTCGTACCTGATACTGATACCTGATAAAATATCGGTTTGCTTGGCAATCCGATGCATGACCCCACGATGGTTTCCATCATGTTTTTAATCATTCTTTCAGCGTCTCTGTTTTAAGTGGACATTTTATATGTTAGATATAGGTAAAGGAAGCTGCGAGATGAACGTATATACACCATATCAATAAATGCATATATATTTTCATATATACAAATTTCATATATAAATATATATGTATACATTCTGCTTTATGTTAAAAATTGCATAAATCCGAGATCTTCCTTCATTATAACGAAACTTGAAAGATACTCTTTCTTAACTCTTTCCCTTTTGATGTTAAAAAAAAAAAAAAAAAAATACATATGATGTATGTACACATATACATATTCTACACGGTACGTATATGAATACATATGCTACGAGGTTTTCAGCAGGAGATTGTCAGTGACCAAGTCATAACGATTCTTATGCCATCGTATTGGACGACCTATGTACACATTTCAATTGAGATATATTACATTCGTTGTGACTCTCTCTACATAAGGTAGGGTCTTCAATATTTTACTACATTCAGAAGAACAGCATGACATACGAAATGTAACATTTATAGTAGTGCCTCATATTGATTGGTCCACACACACACAAGGGTCACATTTATTATACCAAGTTCTTCTCGATCAAAGACTATACCTTACGCAGTGAAACAAAATGATAATCTATCAAGAGACTACATGCAAAGAAAAGACATTGGTAAGATTACCGGCGGTTAGGCATGCAATATCAAATGCTGTATGTATCTATTAGAGAAGAATCATCCAACAAAACGTAAATCAAATCCAGTGGTGCACTGTACAAACGTGACAATGCGCTATACAGTCCCACAAGAATTCAAAGGCCATCTCAACCTTTAAGGCTTCAAACGTTCAACGATCTGAAATATGGTTACCTATTACAAAAAAAAAGCGAACTAAAAGAGCGACTGACTCAAGAAGAAATTATTAAATGATAGCAACAAAGAGAAAAAAAAAGCTTAGATGCAAAAGTTTGGCCCCTCACATCTTGTATCTCATCACAACAATAAACTATGATGATATTCAGCAAAGTTATACAAAAGCGAAAGCACATGAAATATTGTCTATGAGGTACAAGAGAGTCGCCACAAAAATTTCTTCCTGCTGACAGAATGGTATCAGATATCGTCCCTTTTTCAGCCTCGAGAACGAAGCCGGCCGAGCGTTTCGCGCGACGGACGATCGCGTCCACGTCGATATTACGAATATTCTCGACACGCAGGAATGAGTCCTTTGTTTCGCAATTTACACATGTCGCTCACAACTTATCGGAAAGGGGGACAGAGAGAAAGAGAGAGAGAAAAAGTGTGTATGTGTGTGAGAGAGAGACAGAGAAAAAAGTACATGCCGCTACATGAAACGAGTGTCCATAGAATATTGTACGTCAAGCTGGGACCAACCCTTTCGTGTATTTCTTCGAAACATAGAGTTCCACGAGGACGAGCACGCGACCGGCGTCAGAAGACATGCAGCAGTCACCTCTGATGACCCCTAAATCCAGTTGCCGAGCGCCTCTCCTACGAGGACGACAATATTGCTACCTCGGGAGGGGTGTGTGTATGTGTTCCTTTCAATCGCGCTTGTCACTCATTACACCCTCTGTGCTTGAAACAAAAGGAAGACGTACTCGCGGTTTTCGTAAAGATGAAAAGTAGAGATAGAATCATAGAGAAAGAGAGGAAGCGTAGAGTTAAAAGGGACAGGCTCCTCTGTCTAAATCTCTTTTCACACTTTTTCGCATCTAAAACATCTCGAAAGAGAGTGAGAAGAGAAAGAGAGAAAGATAGACAGAATATTATTAAATTTAAGAAAGTATGTCTAAAGCGAACGAGACCTAAGGAGTGTGTCTCTCGGCTAAACTAACCTATACTTTCCACCGCGATGAAGACGGATAGCGAGCAACGGCCAAGGTCGCACTTCGTCGCGGAGGCGAAAGAGAAAAGCACGCACGCGCGCGTGTAGGAGAGAGAGAGAGAGAGAGAGAGAGAGAGAGAGAGAAAGATGAGATTTCGTAGCGGATACTCAGGACGCCATCGATGACGCGAGTGCCTAGAAGACGCTAATGATGACGCGGGATTCTCGGGAGACGCCACCAACGTCCGGGATGTTCGGCAGGTCCGCCCGTTCGCTCGCCCTATCTGCACTCACCTGCACTCGCTCGCGTATACGAGATGTCCGTATGCGCGCACTCGCGGCGGCACGGAGAAAGGAGGCGAGGTGTAGAAAGTGCCGATCGAGAGTAACAGACCGAGGTAATCCAGGAGCGCGTTCCTTTCAGCCGTCGCGGACTCTCTTTTCTCTTTCTCGCTCCTTTCCTCTTCACCGCGGTCGCGAAAATCTTCCCCGAGGACCTTCACGCGGATGAGAAAGCGGAGCGCGGTGCGAGAGCGGAATCGAGAATGGAACGTAGGGATTCCGGATCTCCCCGGACGATGCTGGGCACGTTCGCGGCGCAATCGCGTCACGTCAAAAGCGCGCACGTACCCAGAATTTGTTTACGCGGGGGCGGGGGAGGTGGAGGGATAAGAAACGTCGTCGTCGGGCAATATCCGGCACGATCGAACCGCTGTCACGAAGGCGAGACAGTCAGCCGATCGTAGATCAGCCGCACAATTACGATTTTGGCCTTCGGGACGAAGAGAGAGAGAGAGAGAGAGAAAGAGAGCAGAAAAGGGGAGGGAGGGCCGGTCGAGAATCAGGCGAAGCGATAAAAGCACAAGGTGTCTGTTCCTTTTAACTGCACTCACACGGCTTTCCTTTTCTGGAGGAACTCGCATCACTCGCGAGAATTCGGGGGAAGAGAGAAAAGGGAAGCGACGGCACGAGAGTGCGTGGTGTGGCGTAACAGGATACACACGGAACAATCGTCGCGGCAGTGGAAAGAGAAAGAGAGAAAGAGCGAGAGAAAAAGAAAGAGAGAGAGAGAAAGAGAGAGCGAAAGAGGCGTTTACTTACTGGACTAAACGGCCACGTAGTGTCAGGTAGAGCCCGAGAACATTCCAAGAGTTCCGTCGCACGGATTTACTTGCTCGGCTCCGCGGCAGTGGTGGCGGCGGCGGCGGTGACGACGACGACCAAGATAACGATGACGACGTGGACGTAGACTAAGCACGAATCGCAAGTGCACGACTGAACGCGGAATCGAACTTGCGAGTCGAATTGAGAGTATTGAGACACCCGTGTTCGGACTTCAGAGCGCGCCTCGCCGTGCAGTCAGTGCGGTGATACCAAGCGGACGAGATTCGCGACGCATGGCACTCCCTCGAGAGCTCCTGGCGCGATCCGCTCTCTCTCTCTCTCTCTCTCTCTCTATCTCTCTCTTTCTCTCCCCCCCGTCTACTTATCCCCGTCTCGCTCTCTCCCTCTCTCGCTCACGGAGGAGGAGGCTCCTTTTTTTTTCCCCTCTTTTAGCACCGTGCTCGAGGAGCTCGACGTCCCGATGGGATCTTCAACGCGTCCGGAAAACGCTCGCGACGTCCGCACACACGACGCACCACGCACCCTCTCACCACTCCGGTCGGCGTTAATTTAAGATATATTTGCGTATTTACCTGAAATCTTGCGACAGAAAATCAAGAAAATGGCTGCCCTCGATGGCCACACCTCAATCTGTTGAGTGTGCGGCGAATGGCCGCGGTGGTGGGGCTGAGCGGCGACGGCGGCAACTTCAGCTCGTTTCAGGGACGTGCCAAGCGTTACGTACTTAGGGCCGATTGTGGTTCCGCGAAACCGGGTCAATGATTTTTAATTTGTTAGGATAAACGGACATTGATTTCGCGCGATGCAATACTATTTTTTAATATGTTTTTATTACCCTTAACATGCCTTGTAACGTGACGTTTTCGGTAAGTCGAAAATAAAGATTAATTAATCGATTATAATTATATGACTTTTTCCAAAGAAATGATTTTTATAGGCATATTTAATAACAATAAGTTACATTTGCGTGAACAGATATTAAAATAATTACTCAATTCCAACATATTACATCTTTCTGTAACTTATATGTTGCACCTCCTGCACTAAAAAATTAAAAGGGGATAAAGCATACAATATTAAAGAAATAAATATTAAATATTAAAAATAAAAAATTAGAAATAGAGATTAAACGATTAAATACGCAATGAATACAAATAAGATATAAAAATACATAAATGTCTTATCCATTGTGCGTTATATTTAATCTCTGTTCCTAATTTCTTTATTTCTATTTAATATTTATCCTGTTCCTAATATCTCTTTTATTGTAAGCAATGTCTAAATAATATGGAGAGAAAAAAAGAACAGAGAACAGAAAAATCTAAAGATGTAAAAGAACGTGTATTTGGCGGCATATATTTCCACCGATTGTTTACGACTGAATTCCAATTGATTTTCACGAAAGTCAAGTCACGACCATTGATCGTAAAAACCGCGGTGGGGTCCATGAAATGACTCAACGGGATCCACTTGGAAATTTGCCGCCGCTTTCGGGGCCGCGTGGCGCCCGCCACTCACGACGCCTCGCTCCAGCCCTGCTTCCAAAACCGGCGAATCACGTGTCACCGGCGCGCACCGCGCACGTCACGGACCTGTGGAAGGAACTTTGCGCACACTTCACGCTTCTCGCTTCGTATCGCCGCCACTTGTAGGTGGATAACGGAAAGGGTTGGAAAATATGTAAATAAGCGGCTGTCCCTCCGTATTGCTGCATTTGCGACCGTTTACTGTCATTGCGTTGCGACACGTAACGTGAAATTCGTCCAAATTTAGAGAAACGAAAATGCTCAAAGTATGTTTCTTGAATCTACATTTCTCTGTGCGTTTTAAGACCGTTCGAATTAAAGATATCGCAAAGTCGACGGAAATATCAGAAAAATGTATAGTTTCATACATTTTTAGCGTAAAGAATAAAAATTAGTTATTTGATATAAAAAAAAGATGTAGTTTTCAAATATTATAGAAAGTAATCTTTCGAAATTTTCTTTCGTTACAAGAGAGAAGAATTAGAGATCTATTTAATAATTACATCATAATCGCGAAGGATTAATATACAAGAAATTTACGTTTCTACACTTTTCCAATTGTGCAGAAGATTTTTTTTTCTTAACCGACGAACCAATTTCACGCTGATGCGTGAGAGGTGCGTGCGTGCACGTAGTGTGTCATTAACCGGCTTATCGGCCGGATAAAATAAATACCGGCGTCAAGAATTTCCCCCCCAATTGCCTGCGAAATGAAATGGTCTCGAGCGTTATACTTCCTATCCCTCTTCTTTCTTTAACGGAGGAGTTCAAGGACGCGGAGACGGGATTTCTCGGTGATGACGTTCGAAGGAGTAAAGATTCGAATTAACGGACGAATTAATGAGTAATTCGGAATTCTTCATACATGAGCTTCATACGGAGTTCCGATTCTTTTTCTTTTTTTTTTTTTTCAACAAGTAGCACTCTACAGCGCTTTATTCGCGAACGGACTTTGACAATCAGCTGATCCGCAAGAAAACCTATGAGCTATCCGCTTCTAATCACGGATCAACGTGCGTTCTCTTATCAATAAACGATCTTAACCGACATATACCGTCTGCGCGTGCGTAAATTCGTAAAAGTGTATGTGCGCGGGTGTAGGTAATACGCGCGCGCGCGCGTAGTGGCCAAATAAGAATGATGTCATCGCGTGACGCACGTGGAATTGGCCGGCGCTCATGCTCAGCCGGCCCGAACCCGTGGAATACGGGGAATACGGCCGTTAATGAAACCTGCGTATGTACGAGCATCTCATCCAAAGAAACCGTATCCGTTGATTATCAACGCGTAGCGAACGCCCGTCTTACAAAGATACCGCCGATAAGCCACGCTTCTTCGACCGCGATATATCGCGCGCATGCAGCTTCCTTTCTTCTTACGGATAGAAAGCGCATCGCGCGAGTTACACTTGCATGCGTCTCTGTCTATCTAGTTCAGTTAACACATCGAAATCGCTCCCCTAAAAAAAAAAGAAATAATAGATAGAAAAGAAACAAGAGATATAATCGGTTCTATCGAGGATTCTTTAGTAACTCACGGCACGAGTCAGAGACGAGTGTGTTTGTTGGAAACTTTTTATTTGTTTGTAATTTCGATTTTTTACTTTTTATTTTTTTTTTTCTAAATTGTATCTATTATCTCACAATAGGTAAAAAATTTCCCAGTTGTCTAATTGGAAGAAATACGGCGAAATAATAGAAAAGAAATCCGAATATTTTCTTCATGCTAGAATTTTTATTACAATTTGTTTGTTAGTATTAGCACGTTGTCGTTATTTTCAATATGCAGCGTGCTAAGAAATTCGTATATTCGAGAAACATGAGACTGTAAATCTGATATGCAAAAGTTTCCGTTTTGTGTTTAGTCCAAAGATTTCATCAACTAACAATCATGCGCAATGCAATAATTACGCATTTATAAAACGTTGACAGAAAAGTTCAATTTCATACATATATATGTAATAAGATATGAATAAAATATTAAACAATGATTTGCAATTCGGTCGGTATCATGAATTTGTGTATATTTCGCGTCAATTGAACGTTCAGTTATTCAACCGAGACATTATGAACAGTTGTGTTATATAAATTCACGCGCAATTGTCATTGGTAATACAGTGCATGATCTAGAAATAATGCCCTGGATGATGCGGAAAATTGGGGTATCGCTCAATTATTATAGTCACTCAAATTATCGTGGCATTAAAAAAACATTTTGTTACGTTGTATCAATCTTTAGCATGCTATAAAAAATTGTACAATAGCTAAAGAGAAGATGAGAGGAGGAGAGAGGCCCGATGTTACACCCGTAACGGCTAATCTATGAAATGAATTCTATGGTATGCGCGCGTTATCGCGTAGATATATGATAGAATTATCATTGAAGCTGTAAATCTTGCCTCACGGCGTTCGTTAGAAAACGATACAATGTACTGATCTGTAACTACGAATGAGAAAAAAGTCAGCTATGATGTCCATAAAGTTCATGTCCATCTATCACACAACCAGCCGTACTTTAATTTTGTTGCGGTGGTTCCGGGTCATTCGGATTGCCGCCCATTTGCCGTCTCAGCGACTCGATCAACTCAGGGTTTGCGTTCTGCATTTGCTGCGCCAATTGTTGGCCTCTGAAATATTTATACGCATATATACGAAATTCACACAAGTCATATCACTCATTTGCTACAAGGACACAATTAAAAAAATAGAGTTTTCCAGAAAATAAGTTTGAATATTTTGAATCATTAAAATTTTGTAATATTAATTTTAAATTTGCAATTTTGATGTATGACTGATTTTAGAGAATAAAAATTTTTTTTTCTTTATGTTTTCGTTTTTTTTGCAAACAACTGGAAAATGACTTTTTTTGAGTTTTGTTGTATATCAGTATAACATTATCTATTGAACTAAATGGCAAAATTTATGATTCTGTTCTATCAAACTTACGCCTCTATGAGTAATTCCATGCGACCACCTTCTTCCACGTTACCAGACATAAGATTACACATCATGTTCTGCATAGCTGGGTCGGATAACATCTGACGCGCCATATTCATTAAAGAAGGATTGCTTAAAAGGGCACTCAAGTCCATGCCGGGTAAATTAGGCACAGACTGATTGACACCTAATTGGGCCAATTTTTCTTCCGCCAACTGCAAATTGTTTCGATAACTTTCGTTATCCGGTTCCATCGCTAAGGCTTTCTCATAACTCTCCTTAGCCTCTTTATGCCTCTCCAAACTTGAATATGCTAAACCTAACCGACCATATGCCTTGCTGTATGACGGATCAATAGAAAGCGCCGTGTTACAGTCTTTAATGGCTAAGGTGTGATTACCAAGTTTGCTATGAACGGCAGCTCTGTTACAATAATACACTGCATTGCGAGAATCTAATGTTATTGCCCTGTAAGCGAACAAGCTTAAGTTAAAAAAGGAACAATATTTATTCAAATTAATAAAGAAAAACTATGCATACTTTGTGTAGTTGGCAAGCGCTTCATGATGCTTTTCTTGTTTCATAAGTGTATTGCCTTCATTTTTCAATCTTTCTGCTTCAGCCTTTGCTTCCGGTGTAGCTTCTGGACCCAGAACCGGCGCGGCATTCTCCACTGCATTTTTATAAATTTGATACAGATTTACATTTGCGGGGGCATCAGAAGCTTGCACACTATAAGCACTCTCCAAACACTGGATTGCTACTTCCAAACTCTCTCGTGAATCAGCAGTTATATCGCCATCTTGCAATTGGTCTGTCAGAAACTTGACAATCGACGAGACTAGTCCCTTGACAGCCATCAGT